AATTGGAAAGCGCAAGTGCCCAACATTGAAGATGCCTGACACAGACATAACGGGGACAAAAGATGTACTGTTTGTTGGTAAGCTTGTCTGGTCATTTCCATGGCAGTTGTGAGCCATGGAAATGACTCATGTGACTCATACCCGGTGGTCCAGTGGTTAGCGCGTCGACCTCACAGTGCAGAGGTACCGAGTTCAATTTCCGCAGAGGTCGTGGGTTTGATCCCAGCTCCGGCCTTCCTGAGTGGAGTTCGCATGTTCTCCCCGGGCCTACGTGGGTTTTCTCCGGGTACTCAGGTTTCTTCCCACATTTTAAAAGTATGCGTGGCAGGCTGATTGAACACTCAAAATTGTCCCTAGGTCTGAGTGTGAGCGTGGATGGTGGTTGTTCATCTGTGTGTGCCCTGCGATTGGTTGGCAACCGGTTCAGGGTGTCCCCCGCCTACAGCCCGAAGACGGCTGGGATAGGCTCCAGCACCTCCCGCGACCCTTGTGTGGATAAGCGGATCGGAAAATGGATGGATGGATGGATGGAATTTGCAATTTACATTAGCTTCTATCCTCATAAGAGTTGGGGCTACGTTAGCATCTTGATGGAATATATACGTGAAGATAACTGATGGTTAATTGTTTGGCTTATATTGTAGTGAGCAGCTAGTCTTTTTCCTATGTCGTAGTAAGTTCCATTTTCTGTTTTCCACTTCCCCATCATAACCTGATTGCTTATTTGAGTAGCTGTGGTCACCAGCACCCAAGAAAACAGAAGACTTGAGTGTTGTTATCATTTCCTGGTAAGTGTGGATGTCGCCGTAAGGATACATCCACTGCACGTGAAGGATCTGTAATCTGTTGTGCTTCAGTGGAGCAGAGACAGCGAGATAAACAAGCAAAACATTCCCACCACTGACAACTGCGCCAAAGCCACATCCACAAAAACACAGAGGGTCCCTGATCACAGCCACTCTCGGGCCTCTTCTGCTCGACATGATCGCTGCCTGTCATTAGTCAGCCAGCCGCTAAATTATTCAAGCGTGCACATGTTTGGAAGCATCCAAACACAGCAGACACAATGCTGTGCAAAACGCTTTCATGCGCCGAGCGGGGGGAAAGAAAAAAAATATCGGACCTTTGGAATGAATGAATGAATAAATAAATAAATAAATAAGTGAAACAAACAAAAAACAAGCAAGGGAGTGGAGCATGGGAGGAATATGACGGCGTAATTTAGTGCTTCAACTTCAATGCCAGTCAAATTAAAAGGGAATCTTAATGCTCGTGTCTCTCCCGCCATTGATGTGCGCTCTCCGCAATATGGCTGACAATCTATTCCCACACTGGCGCCCGCTGCCACTCAAAGCAAGCAGAGCGGCACTACTGTAGCAATTAGACAGCCGCTTTTGGGGGTGCAACTGATGCCTTTTTAGTGGAAATAAAACCATCAGCTCTGCCGTGCGTGCGCGCGGGTGTGCTCACATCCAATGTCAGCACGGCAAGGCTTCTGAAACAGTGTGATATATTAAATATTTTAAAAAGTAACTGTAATTTACAATTTTAGAATACTACAAAATAAATAAAAGGAGGATGGGAACAAATTACATGAAAGATTATTTAGAGAATAAAAAATATCGACTCTTTTCCTCATGCTTGCTTGGGTTTTCTTCTTGCATTCCAGTTTACTCCCACATTTCAAAAACATGCATGTTAGGTTCACTGAAGACTCTAAATTAACCAAAGAGAGGATGATTGTCTTATGTGCCCAATGTGGGAACCAGTCCAGGGTGTACCCTGCCTCTCTCCCAAAGTCAGCTGGGATAGGCTCCAGCAACATCAATGAGACTGGATTGAGTGAGACATGTTGTATTTTGGGGTCGTGTGAATAACCTTAGGGCACATTTGAAAAATATTTGGAGTTTCCAAACGGTGTGAATAAAGCAGCGCACTCGTAGCGTATTTGTTAATGCATCCGCCATGAAGAGACCGGGGAGTTTAGGGATGACGAGGTGTGTTGTTCGTGGTCTCCATTTTAAAAAAAAAAACTTTTCCCCTGGAATTTTTTTTTTAACTGGTCTGACTTACGAGGAAGAAAAAGAGCAACAAAAACCAGCAAAATAGTGAGGTATAAAATTCAACAAAATTACCTTAATTTACTTGTCTGATAAAACATACTACTGCTAACTGCTAGCATGGCATATCTACTACATACAGCCTAAACTGTCTGTGCTGAGAAGGTCATGAAGTTAAGGTGTAACGCGAAACTGTAAAAAGAAAATTATTAGGAATAGTGTACAGGAGACAAGTATGGCTCAATATCATCATGGAAAACAAAGACAAATGTATTACCGTAGGCCACCTGTCATGAATTTGAAAAGTGAGCTTCCAGCGTCATGGAGTGCTTTAATGCAGATCATTTACAGTAAACATGTTTCGTTTTACCATTATGAACAGGAGTGTGGAATTTCAAACTCAACACATATTTTTATTCAATATTAAATTAGCAAGACACAAGGACTTAAACCATTCAATGCACCCTGAGCTGAAGTGTCACGGGGTTTGCTGATATCTCGCGGAATTACTTTTGTAACGCGTTACTTCCAACACTTGGTCGGAAACAGTGCAGGCATGGTAAAGTGGGTAAACAGCATTTGACATGTTTTCAATGTGGTTACATTAGAACAAGCTGTGTTGAATTGAAAAGCTAATAATCCAACCATGCAAATCATCAATCATGGGAAAAGGCCTATTAATTATTCAGTCAAAGCGTCTAATTCAAGAATCAATGTCGGGAAGCAGAGGGAGTTCTTGGGATGAGGGAGGGAACGGAGGGGAGGTAATATAAAGGAATAGGGAATTACCCCTCACTCTGTGAGCTGTGGCCCGTCTCGTCGTGAGCTGTCAAAAACAACTCGTTTCATCTCTCCAAGTTTAAAGACGACTTTGGAAACATTTTCCCGCACAAAACTCGTTAGGTCTTTGTTCCTCGTTAGTTCCCCCTTCATGTCTCCGCTCCTCCTCCTTTGTCCCCGCCACTATCCGTCCATCCTTTCTTTTTTTCTTCGGTTTTTCGACCGCCTGACTCTGGCGTTTTCTTGAAGTTCACTATTGTGCCCTCTGATCTACCGCAATTACAATCTCTTCCTTGGGAATTCATTATTTACGTTCAATTAAACAAATCCCGTCCTCTGGGTCTAAGTGGTTGGCCGTAACGAAGTCGGGCTCAGTCAGCTCTAATACAAAGACTGGCCATGTTAATGCCAGCTCCTCTAAAGGTGTTTCCACAGGCTTCATTACTCGCCATACGCTCCAAACACTTCAAAGATCATTAACATCTATTATTAATGGATTAAATATCCAATATCTGACTATCGTTAAAAAAAAAAAAAAAAAAAAAAAAGTTGTGGACTGAGAGTTAACTTCAGAACGCTCTCATCATGGGCTTCTGAACTTTTCGCACAAGAGTTTAGGCCTTGGAAGCTCTCTCCGGGCTTTTCTCATTAAGGTCACAGGAGTTCGCACGATGCATTTGAAGTGGCACAGACAGCCCGAGACCACCTCATTCTGCAAGAAATGAGGGTTTGAATCTGGCCGTTAATAATATAAATCTGGCTGGAAACTGCAGACAAAGCTTCGAGCAGAATGTCCTTTGGACGTGTGAGTCACATCAGTGCTAAGTTTACACAAACACATGCAAAGGACACTGTACCCATGAAGAATCATGGTTAAGACTTAGTGATGATCTGGGGCTGCTTTTCTACATCCGACACTGGATGTCTTGAATCTGTGCAGGGGACAAGGAAAAATCAAGACGCTCAAGGGAAAAGTGCTGCCCAGTGTCAAAGAGCTTGATCAAAAACAAACAATAAAAAAAGACAAACCTGCAGGCCAACAGGGTAAAAATAAATAAAATACACAACAAAACCACTCAAGAATGAAGAGAGCAAACAAAGAACAATCCTGGTGCCAACCATTTTGCTTTTTGTCCACATTGAGTATTTAAAAAAAGGTAAGTTATTTCTGTGATGTGAGAAATTATTTGTGAAACTTTTTTCACCTTCAGTATAAACTGTAATGTTAACAATTCATCCGTATGTCGATTTTTAATAACTCTTTGTTCGCATTAGGGTAGCAGGTGAACTGGAACCTATCCCAGGAGACTTTTGGACAAGAGGCAGGGTACACTATGGAGAGGTCAACAATTCAATTATAACACAAACTTAATTCTTTCAAAAGGACTGAGTAATATTAAAATCCACTTAAACTGCACAGGCAGTTGTGTACAGAACTCAAAATCATATTCAAACTCATGTCAAAGAGTCGTGGGTACAAATCTGCCCTCATTTAAATGTGCTGCAGTCGATCTAAATAAGTTTATATAACGCAACATACAATTTTACAAAAATTGTAAAAGTATTATTCCTGAATATTTATTTCACTTTCAACCACTCGACATGTTCAGTGGCATCAGTGCTATACATACACATATAGTTCTTATTTTTTTCTTTGTATTTTTGCCCTCTATGGACAATAAAAGCGGTATTGTGCTATGACCAAAACATAAATATAAATCTATATAAATAAAACATGAATTGGAATATTTCATATCACACACTTTTTATGCTGTGTCTTTGATTTAAAGATGACGTGATGAAGAATACGCAAAAATCTACAAAAATTGTAGAAATTGTAACATATGGGGTAACCCATGTGTTACAAACATCGTAGAAATTGCAGCACAAGGGTTACAGTGACTCGGTTGTGTTCTCGTCGGATTTTCCCGACTTGTATCTCAAACAGCAAAAGCCACGGTCAACAGAGAGCAACTAAAGAAGCGGTGTCATTTATTTAAACTTGTTAGGGAGGGGCCAGCCAGGTGGCCTCCTCAGCCAGGGTGCTGTGCACCTCACACCTGAGGCTCGGTAGCTCATCACCCACCTGTAGCTCATCAGCTCATTTGGGCTGGTATAAATTGGCTCACAAACAGTTCTTCAGTGCAATTTTGTGTCCTAACCACCTGCCGCAATCCCTGTTCGCCACCTTGTGAAGTTTTTGCTTCCTTTGTGGATATTTCCTCTCCCCGTGGGCTCTTTGTGCTTCCCCCTTGAACGTTAAGTAAGTTTCAGTTTGAATTCTCCTGAGTTGGCTTTGCAAATTATGCCAAGTTTTGGCTAACGCCACCCTTGTCATTTGTCGTGCGTTTGGTGTGACATACAAACCCTAACAAAACAATCGGCTAAGAGACGGGAGGAAGAAAGTTCAAAGCCATTAGCTATACTTTGAAACACAGTGAAGACAGTCATTGTGAAGTGGACAAAATAAAGCATGGCAGTAACTTGACCAAGGACCAGCATTCTTTTCAAGATTAATAGAATATTATTGAGAAAGGAGGAGGATGGTTAGGTAGGATGTGAAGAGCCCTGCAGCAACATGAAAGGAGCTGTAGGGGGTTCTGGCAAGCATTGGCTGTGTCAACAATCTCCCATAGTGTTCTATGTCTGTGCTGTGGCACTGAGTGACAATATTTAACCAAAGAAAAGAAGTCGGCTTACGTTTTGCAAAAACTCACTTCAATTCTCATGTTTGCTGAATTATGAACAGTTCCAAATTGCTGTATTTTTTTTTCCACAAAATCTTCAGGCTTTCACCAGAAAGATGAAGATGTCATGTTTGACGACGTCTCAAAACATACAGCCAATTCAACAGGACAATGGCAATGACCAGAAGATAATGCATTTGGAATTGTCCAAATTGGGAAATATGAGTGGAGATGTACACAGTCTATGTCCTCGCCATCTGACACATTTGCATCATGTTGGTAGGACACCTATTCAAAAAGACTAAATAATATATGAAGATCAAAATTTTCGTCTTGCGTTTAAGGGTGTCTTTGCAACGTATAAATAGTGAATAATTCTGAGTTTTATGTTTTCGATTATTTTTTTCCTCAAAGATTGCGGCCACTTGCAATTCTGCTGCATTTAAAAAAACAATACATGAACTCATCTCGAAGCCAGTTATTTTTGGGGGTATTGTTGTAAAATGAGTTTGAAATAATATGATAGTGTGGGTGAAGACAACATATATGCTGCACATCTAAGTGCATTGTTTTAGGCAGTCAAGTGCACACAACAAGGATCACGAAAGACAACAGAGGGCCTTCTCTGTGAATGTTCAGCAACATTGTGACTGTCAACAATCGGGCATAAATTAGCAGCCTTGGCCTCTACTCTGGTTATTCTAGTAATTACCTCCCTCGAGGACACACACACACACACACACACACACTCTCATTTGGAGCGCTGCACGACACCTCGCATTGAAGGGAGGGGCCTGCACACATCAACACAAGCTTCATCCGGCCTCTTTGATTGGCCGCGGAAATACAAACAACCCCCTCCCATATAAATGCTTGAAACCTTGGGAATGATGGTGCTGATGAAAGCTCATCACCACTTCCCATTAGGGGACAGCCACCTCGCAGACAGACGCTGACTGATTGACGGACAGTTGTGAGAAGACGACACATTGCCATATCAAGAGTTCAGTGAAGGCGGGCGGCGAGACAGAAGGGAAGAGCGAGACAGGAAGGAGGTGGAACGCTGACAAGCTCATCTCCATTTTTGACAATGGGGGGGGGCGTCTGAAGCAGCGAGAACAGAGGGAGGACTTTAGCTCCTTTCATCTTGTCATAATTATCTCCAAGAAGCCACATGAAACGCTAAATCTCTAATTTTTTTGGTTGTTTATAAATTAGAGAACAAGGACATTTTTTTTTTTCTGTGACAACTTTGATGGCTTTTTTTTTTTTTCTCCCGTCTCTCTGTGCATGCTTGAGCAGTCCTGGGCTAATGATGGCGTCTCTTCTTAAGGCCAACGGGGGTGCAAGGATGAAAATTGCAATAAAAAAAAATGACACTAAACACAATTTATCAAATGAAACGGCGAGCTAAAGTGTCAGGATACGAAGAACGTCATTATCTAAATTACTGTGAGTCAGTCCAAACGTGTCTCTGCTGGCAGCCGCCACTATTAAAAGACGACATATTGTGCATATGCGATTTTCCCACAATTTAAAACGGTTCCTTGGTGTCTTAGTAAAATGTCTGTGACGTGGTTTGGTTGAAGTACCCCAAGGAAGAACAATTAAAACATATTCTTTGTCTATTTTTACAGCAATGATGAATTCCGCCATTTTGGGAAGGGGCTGTCCTGTCTAATGCAAAGTAGCTATCATTGTGTGTTGCAAGGAAAATGTCACACCTGTTTTGGGCTGTGACGTGAGTGGCCAGTCTACGTTTCGATGGTGTGAACATTAAAGGATAAATATTGTGCTCCCCGTTTCCCCTCCGCTCCTTACACACACACACAATTTAAAAGAATTATCAGCTGCTGTTGCTATATTAAGCAACTTTGCCAACTCCTTTTAGCACTGTTTTTGCAAAAAAGTATGAGCAACAAATCTTGCGACTTTGTTGGAGCTGTTCACTCAGCTGTGTCCAGAAAGCAAACGAATGCCACATGCATGATGCCGTAAAAAA